CTCTTCAGTTTCCTCCAAATGGTTACATTTTATGTAACTATATGGAATATCAAACCAAAAAATTGTCAGTTTACCACATGCATAGGTTCATGTAACCAGAACCATGATCAAGATACAGAACTATTCCATCACCATGAAGATCTTCATGCTACCCCTTATAGTTATAGTCACACCCATGCCCTCACCCCCCACAATCCTTAACCCATAGCAACCAGTAATCTGTTTTCCATCTCTATAATTTTGTCATTTTGAAAATGTTTTATATATATACATATAAAATTATACAGTATGTGACCTTTTTTCATGGTTATTTTTTATTGAATCAGTATATTTGCATAATTATTTGTAGAATTGGTCTGAGCTAATGCTTAGTTTTTTTGTTTGTTTTGTTTTGTTTTTGTTTCAGAGAATGCTGCCTCTGCCAAGTAACTGGTGTCCTAACACTTTGAAATCATTTTGGTTAAATTTTAGGGATTGACATCTTAACAAACTGATGTGTGCTCCCTATGAGGGTCTATCTAACTTCTGGCTCATACTGCTAGCCAGCATGCAACCTTTCAGGATTCCAACCCAGAGTTTAAGGAATGGGACAGATTCACTACAATTCTTTTCTTTGGTAGGCCCAGGACCCCAACTCCCCCCTCTCCTTAGTTCCTTAGCCTCTCAACTCTTCCCTCTATAATTATCTAACGTCTCCAAATAAAAGGAAGCTCCAAGCTCCTGACTTGCCTCTCTGAGCCTCTCTCCTTCTCTAGATTCTGGCCCAGTAATTTTTCTCTGTCTTGTTAAATTTGCATGTCTTTAAGCACATGATTTTTATACATTTTGTCTAGCTTTTCTAGACTGCTGAGGATGGATCTAAATCACCTAGTTTCCTATTACTGGAAATGAATGTTTGTTGTAGTTATGTTTTCTTTGACCCATGCAGGTTTAAATTTGTTTTAAATTTAAATTTAAAATTTAAAATATTTTGAATTTTTGAATACAAATTGGAATATCTGACTTTTATTGATATCGGAATTCACTCAAGACAAAAATCAGGTAAAGCAGTTAGGGGATACTGCTCCTTTAGGAAGAAGCACTTGCTCTCAATTTGGCTGCAGTCTTCCCTGACCCCAACTGTCTGTATCTGGTGCTTTATTAATTTAAAAAACATGCCTGCCTGGCCACTGTAAGCATTCTTATTTAAAGGAAACTTTCAAATTTAATATTACTTTTTTTGTTCCTAGAATTTTGTTGGTAAATGAGATCATTACTCTAAATTTTGGTCATTTTTACTCTTCTCTTCCATCATTCAGAAATCCCAGCTTTGGAGCACAAAGTAAATCATATTCCTTGTATTATTGTCATTAAATGACTGAGTCTCTACATAGCCAATTTTAAAAACGTTTTTTTTACCTCCTTACAGCTTACCCTCTTCTAATAACTCTGAACCCATGAAGGATATTTACTTACACTCAGTTCTTATTGTTATTGCTGAAGAGAAAAAACTGGAAGGCATCCTCTCCGCAGTCATCATTATAAAAGACTGATTGTTCCAAGTCTCTTCACTTGATTCAGTTGGTAAAATTACCTCTCAGAATCTATTTTTTCACTGATCAACTTAGTGTAATCATGATTGCTCCTCCCATACCTCACAGAGTATAAGCAAACAAAAAAAAGGTGACATTTTAAAAACTATGCAGGATCAGAATCATTACTTAGGCTTTAATATCACAGTGTCAATTGTTTTATAAGCACATATTGAGGAACCACTGTTGCCTATATATTTTGCTGTTTCATGCTCATGTGTTGCTTCAAAATTATAGGAAGAATATATTGGTTCTCAAGGAGCTTAAATTTTATCTGGGAAGAGATACCACATAGAAAGCAGTTAAAATATAAATTAAATAATTTATATAAAATATAAATTAAATATATGTAAAATGGCTATATAAAAGGAAATGTATTATGCTACTAGAATGCCAATTAGAAGGGTAATAAGAAATTGGTGATGCTGAACAAGAAAGGCTCTTGAAAAAGGTTCTTGGGTCAGATTTGAGGAAAGTTTTAGACATGGACTTAGGGGAGAGAGAGATGAAGTTATTCCAGCAACTGATAGTTTTTGCAGAGCTTTTCTTTACAGGAGCTCAGTCTACATTTATTCTTTTTATGCAGAATTTTGAATGAGATTTTGTAGTGTGTGGCACAGAGTTGATATTTTTTAATGGTCACTAATATAATATATAGTCAAATATACTATATATAGAAATAGGACATGAGAGACAATCGTGTGGGCAGATAATCTCTCCAGAATCAGTTCATTTTCCCTCACTCTATCCAATAGAAATATTTCACTTTCTGCAGAAGGTAATAAGGTAATAAGACATTTAATATATGTCTTATATATACATATAAATATATATATATATTTAATATATGAATACTGACCTGAAGGAGCTTACAATTGCTGCTACAGGTTTAGGCACCAAAGTGAGGAGTTGAATAATATGCAGTAGTTATCTAGACATACAAGAAATGTCACAAGGCAGTGGCTGATGAGTATAAAAAATACCAGGGCTGACAAGTCTTAGCAGAGTTCATAGGAGGCAGAATCTTTGGGGGTCTGGTTTTGAGGAAAAGGGATTCATGGAAGAGACGTAACTTAGAATCACCTCAGCAGGGAAACTGTAGAAGTCCTCTAATCCAACTGGATGAACCCTTTCCACGACATCACTAATAAATGGCTCTTTCTTTATCCTCTCAGTAATACCAAATTCACATTCATGAGATATCCTATTTCAAGTTCTTAGAATGTTATTCCTTATAATCAGCCCCAAATCCATCTCCTTATTAAGTGAGATAGTGCTATCCAAAGCTTCCCAGTCCCTGTGTCCATCATCCTCAGGTGCTCCATTGTATTATGATGTACTGGCTTATTTATTCCCTTGACCCTTCTAGCTGTCCTGCAGGGCCTGAAGTAGCCACAGCACCAGAACTAGGGTCATGAGAAACCTCTTATGTTTATCCCAGTGCAATAAATATTGTCACCTCCTATGTATGCTCTGCTGTGAAGCATTGCTCAGTATAGCGTGGTGGTGAAAAGATCCAGGTTCTGGAATCAGACAGCCCAAGTTAGAATCTTGGCTCTGTCAGTTATTAGTTCTTATACCTTGGGATAGAAACTCCACTTTTTTGATCTTCAATTTCTACATTGCAAAATGGGTACAATAATACATGCTCCCTTATAGAATTGATGTAAGAATTAAAGATGAGAATGCATTAGGAATAATAAATGCTATTATTGTCATTGGTTCTGCTTTTACCACTTTTAACCATGATATATAATTCCTCTTCTTTTTTATAAACCTCAAATTATTTAAAGCTAATTTTTGTTTCCTCTAAGTCTCCTCTGACTAAATATCCCAAGTTCCTTCAGTGTCTTCCTGTCCAACGTGGGTTTAAGTTTCTTCAACTTCTCAGTTTCTCTCCTCTAGATACCTATGGTGTCCTTGTGTTCCCTTTTAAACATAAAGTACTAAAAACAGAATGCACCCCTGCAGGTATGGATTGATGAGACAGTCCTTGAAGGGTGGAAGGAATAGGGGATGGAAGGAAGGATATTCTCACTGGAGAACAGAGTAATAAGCAAAGGAGAAGAAAGCACAATACACATGGCATGCTTATCAACAAATGGGCCTAACTGGTTAAAAGGGAGTCATGGGAAAAAGGATCTTAAAGGGGTTGGATTGTGAAGTCCCTGGAACTACGATACTATGGATTCTATCAATATAAAGGAAAACCAACAAAGTCGTCATTATAGGAGATTTATCACTTGAAAGCCAGCAACCACAGAATTTATGTGAGCTACTCACAAGTAGCAAAAAGTTATAAATATTATAGCCCTTCTTTTGCTTCCCTTAGATGAAAACAATCAATAACCCTACAATAGTCCCAAAGGCGATGCTGAAAACTTGGAGATGATCCACAAACCACACATTCCCTTTGGCTGTTGGCTGCTGCAATCCACTATGGTTAGAAAGGTCAGTGACCCAAAGAAGTTACTTTGTTCTATCCTGGGAGTCATAACTCAGTAGCTTCACTTACAGCCTTCCTTTATTCCCAACCCTTTATTTTCTTGCTTTCTGGTCTTTCTTCCATTCACTCAATTTACATAATGCTTAGAATATTGTGGAGTTCATGACCCACCTCTGCTGAGGACTAGGTGTACAACTTTGAACAAATTACTCAGCTTCTTTGTAACTCAGTTTCCTCACCTATAAAAATAAGAATTTTTATAGGATTTAAAGATTAATTGTGAACATTAAATGAGTTAATGTATCTAAAGTGATTAGAAGACAACCTGGCAGTAATAAGTGTTATTTATGTTAACTGTTGTTATTTTGGGTCATTACTATTCATAATTCAACAGATACTAGACACTTGGCTAGGCACAGGGGATGCATAGACAAACAGGACAATCCCTCAATGGTCATATTTCTCCTGATTTTGTGGGCAAGGCAACGACTTTGGGAGCATATTCCTGAATAAACTTTATTAGCTACCACTTATTGTCTTTGTAACCTTGGATGAAACACTTAATTCCTCTGAGCCTCTTTCCTTATCTGTAGAATGAAGATTAATAAAATCTACTTCGAAGATCTGTTCTATTAAATAAGACAAAATATGCATATTGCCTGGCACAGTGTTGGAACTAAATATACACTCCTTCCCCCATAATCCTGTGGCCATACCTAAGGCTGGAGGACCCAACCCTGAGTTTAGGATCCAGCCATTTCCTCTAAAGTGCCAATCAGGAGTATGGACATATAGCACAACGTCTTCAGGAAGAGCAAAGCGTGGAGGAGTGAGAAAAAAACAAGGTGGGGGAGGCAGGGAGACCGCCCCTGGACTACATCTCCCGGGATGCTCAGCAAGAAGGAGGGCCACGCCCCACCCGGCCCCTCCCAACCGGCACAGCAGGCGCTGCCCACCCCGTGGAGCCCAGCGGCGCGCTGAGGCTACAAGTGCCACGGCTGGTAATCGGGGGACTTTCCCGATGAGCGGCGCAGGAACAAGCGCGGTGCTCGAGCCGCACGTGGTGGTCAAGGCAGAGGTGAGTGCCGGTGAGCGGGACCGGGAGGAGGCGCTGGGGCGAGGGAGAGACCCCAGGAGCCTGGCGGAGCGGCGGAGTGCGTCCCCACTCCCTGCCCCAGGTGCTTGCCCTGCCTCGGGGTATTTGACGAACGCAGCCCGACTCCTTGAGGTTCACCCGGAATGGGTGAATTGATCTCGCAGGGGGCACCGCTGCCCGGCGCTTGCTGCGCGCCCTCCCCGCACAGCGCGCCCTGGACGGATCCCGAGGTCGCCTCCCCCAGACCAGCCTCACCCGTATTAGTTAGTTCCAATGCAGATATTAAGGCTCTTAGTCAATGGCAGACGGAGGAGGTATAGTGCTGTCCCCTCGCTTTGAGGTGCAATTTCATTAACCTCCCTCTTAACCAGAGAGACGAGAGGCAGGAGACGGAAGGAAAGAGCCTTTAGCTGGTCCCATGGGATTATCCATTCTCTACTGAGGATGGAAGCCCCGGATTATGGAGCTGCAAAGGGAATCGACTGTGTACCGAGTATCTCCGATGGATCGAGCGGAGTCTGTCTTTAAAGAGAGAGAGAAGCAGGCGAAGGGAATTAAGTGGAGATTTCTTTCCCTCTTTGTTATAAATTGGAAGTCCCATAAGGAACCCTGCCGATTTTATCCAGAGTAGTCCAATGTGATGAGTTAATCGTGCCAAAAGTTAATCAGAGCATCTCATGTCTGAGGGAACTGCGAGACGATTTTTCATTTCAGGAATTGATCAAATCCGTATCACCACTTCCTTCATGGAGGGATCCGGCTGTAGGGATCTGTGTCCACTTGCTAAAGGAAAGTTCTGGTTCAATTGTATGTTTTTTGCACTTGCTTTGTTTTTCTGTTTTAGCTACAGAGAAACTTTGGTAACAGGAGAGAAGTAACAAAACAAACTTTAATGTAGAGCAGAAAATGTGTGGATTCCCTCTCCCATATTTTAAGTGAGTTGCTAGGTAGACCTTAGGTAAGCCTTACTCGTGGGTCTGTGTGGGTTACCAGCTGCTGGAGCTGTGGATTTTGAGCATAATAAGCCCCCGAACCATGGGTTAAATCAACTATTGCTGGGAATTTGGAAGCAAAATAAAAAGGGCCCTTGCTTGAAACTGCTGTATTTGGTGATAGTGAAAAGTGAGTTGTTATTCCTTGGTAGGATGGCAACAGGCAGAGAAAGGCGGGCAGACAGTTTTCTGTTCAACCCAAAGTTCTATCACAGAAAGGTCCCATGCTGCCATGGGGGTAGGGGCATGTCTGGATGCAAAGTTCCAAAGGTAATTTTGGAACTATGTTAATAGCTTCTTACCTATTTACCTCAACAGAACTGTGACTCTGTGAGTTTATAATTTGTCTTTTACTGCCAGTTTACTTCTTTTATTTTTTTTTAAAGATTTTATTTATTTAATCGACAGAGAGAGAGATGGCGAGAGAGGGAACACAAGCAGGGGGAGTGGGAGAGGGAGAAGCAGGCTTCCCGCCGAGCAGGGAGCCTGACGCGGGGCTCGATCCCAGGACCCTGGGATCATGACCTGAGCCGAAGGCAGACGCTTAACGACTGAGCCATCCAGGCACCCCCTGTCAGTTCTCCTGGATGGTCAATTTCCCATGCATGTTTGTTAGCCAAGTGGACAGAAGGAGAGGGACTCAGACCCATTCAGACACAATGAGCAAGAGCAGCAGATCTGCACCTAGAGCAGGTGTGTTTGGGGGAGGGGGGAGTGGAGTGGGCTGGCCCATGGTATTTGGCAGGGATCACACAGTAAGGCACATTATCTACATCCTTCTGGGTCTAGAACAAGCTGGCATCATGTAGCTGCAAGGGCTGAGAATGAAAGTACAATGAACAGGCATGGGGTCTTGTACATATAGGGCTGTGTGACTAAGGTCATTTGATGTAGGTGGCCAGCCATCTTTTACCCACTTCCGAGCTACTCAGTCAAAATGCTGAGCTCTAGTGCCAGTCGAGCCCAGCTGACGGTGACATATTTGTTCATCCCTGGTAATGCTCTAAAGCTAATCTGTATTAGAATCTGTTCTCAACTAAAGATAGTGTAAACATAATTTAACTGAATAGTTGAGAGGTGTGTGCTTCCCCAGGTTTTCCAGAAAATCTCAGCTCTGCTAAAAAAGGTCCCTGCCTTTCTCATTTGTGTCTCTCTACAGGAAACTTGCCTTCTTATTTGAGGGATCCTGTCACAGAAATGTGCGAGTCCTTGGATAAATTTGGCTTGATGACGGCAATGCTTCCTTCAGAGACACTGCTACTTCCTCTGTGCTCCTTTTCTGCCCTGACCTAAGTTCCTCAGTGTCAGTTCTTCTGCTAAGTCAGAGGATTTGCCCATTTCACACTTTCCTGCCACTAGGTCTCCTCTCATTTCTTGTACCCCTTTTAGGAGGAACTGGGGCTAGATGTGTAACAACTGTGGCTGAACAGGAGATGGGGACCCCAGGAGCGATACTCCTGGTGGTGCAGCCTTAGGTCCCGTTGGGTTCTTACCTGTGTGGTTTTGGCAGAATTTTCGGAAGCTGATGGGGGATGTCTGACTAGCTCCGATGGAGCTCCACTACCTTGAGAAGAGGAGCAGCCAGGCAGTCCTGTGTGATGCTGTGGACTGGCATTCAGGAGGGCTTCCTGGTGACCAGGCAGATGCGGCAGCCATCAAAGCTGCTCTCTGCTGCCAGAGACACTGTATGTCGATGCCAAGAGCAGCTGAGATGGAAGGGTCCAAACTTAGCCCTTCTCCAGCATCCCCCTCCTCCTCTCTACAAGACACTGTCATTCAGACAGACTCCTTGCCACCAGGGCCTCTCAACTCAGGGAACAACCAAATACTGGCAGGACGGAAAGTCTGCAACTGCTGCAGCCAGGAATTAGAAACTTCTTTTACCTGTGTGGATGAGAATGTCAACTTAGAGCAAAGGAACCAGTGCTCCCCTCTAACAAAAGGGAGCAATCATCTGGGAGACCTTGGCTGGGGAAATCCAAATGAGTGGTCTCATGAGGCTGCCATATCCTTGATATCTGAAGATGAAGATGATGTAAGTTCGGAAGCCACATCTTCAGGGAAGTCAGTAGACTATGGGTTCATCAGTGCCATCTTGTTCTTGGTCACTGGCATCTTGCTGGTGATCATCTCCTACATTGTCCCACGGGAAGTGACTGTGGATCCCAACACCGTGGCGGCCCGGGAGATGGAACGCTTGGAGAGGGAGAGCGCAAGGTTGGGAGCTCACCTGGACCGCTGTGTGATTGCAGGACTCTGCCTGCTCACACTTGGGGGGGTCGTTTTGTCCTGTTTGCTAATGATGTCTATGTGGAAAGGGGAGCTATATCGTCGCAACAGGTTTGCCTCTTCCAAAGAGTCTGCAAAACTCTATGGTTCTTTCAACTTCAGGATGAAGACCTGCACGAATGAAAATACCCTGGAACTGTCCTTGGTAGAGGAAGATGCTCTTGATGGACAGAGTTAATTCTGGTTGTGAGCCTACTGAGAGTCTGCATTAGCATTTTATATGAAAACAAACAAACAACCCACATTTCTTAAAATTAACAGTGCAGTTTATTTGCTTGGCAAGAAAGGCTTATTTCCCAAACCAACAGCCAGTGAGTGTTTTTATTCTAGATGTATTTTTTATTTAGAAGAAAAGCTATGTAAGATGCATTAAGAAATTACAACCAGCTACATCTGTCCTTCTAAAGAACTGAGATTAATTCATCTATAATGGCCATCAGCTTCTACTTCACTTCTATAGCAAAATATTTCTAACAACCAATGTACAAATGATTTCTTTTACATGGTATGGGGAATTATTCTTTGGACATTAGTAGGTCCTACACACAGTAGGATCAATTAGGTACATATCTTGTGAAAAAGAACTTAAGCACTAATCACATATTAAAGCTTACATTTAATTCTCAAAGGTGCTTATCCATTCTCTTGCTAAATTTTTTCTTCTTCTGATTTGGCTGAACACTAAAATATAGGGTTTTGAATTTGAATATTTTGAAGCTTGAGGATGTTGATTATTTAAAAAAATGCAAAAACACATCTGTTATATTTAAAATTATTCCTGTGCTCAGAAGTGGTAACTAAGTCATTAGCATAAACTTTCTAGTAAAAGAAAAATAATATAAATCATTATAAGACCAATCTGAATTTAACCCAGAATGGTAGTGCCAGATATTAGCCAGTGTTGCATGCCCATTCTCTAGATGAAGTAAAATTAGTTGCTTATATAAATTTCATTTTCCATTTGTGCTTTAGCCATCAGACTGGCTACCTAAGCTCTAGAAGTCTTTCCTGGTTCTCACACCAGAGAGGCAAAGCATAAGACATTTTTAATATATTTCCAGACATATAAACCTCTAGGCAGGTCTAAGTCATGACTGGCTCAGACACACACCCAGGTGATGTTTTGTTGTTTGGAGAAATACAATTGCAATAGAATTGCAGCTAGACTCTTAGAGACTATGCCTAGAAGTTGGTTTCACTTCTCTAGGCCAAGCAACAAGCCATTGCCCCAGGATGGCAGCAGTCCTTAAGCCCATAGCCAAAAAATTAGAAGAGTGACAGAGAGAAAGAGTAAACGCAGTGATTCAGTGGGAACTGTGTCCTCACCAAAACTTACCTCCCCCTAACAGTGGTCTAAGTATCATTCTTTTTTAAAAAAAATTCTTAAAAATTTTAAAAGGTTTTATTTATTTATTGGGAGGGGGGGCTCCATCCCAGGACCTTGAGATCATGACCTGAGCCGAAGGCAGATGCTTAACCAACTGAGCCACCCAGGCGCCCCATAAGTATCATTCTGAGTTCCTCATCCATGCCCTCAGTAACTGTGAAATCTTGCCTCATGACATTCAAACTTGCTTGATGAGAGGCATAATGAGCAAAGTGGTCACAGCTTTGCAAAACACAAACCCAGAGTCCATACTAACACCCTGTATCTGTACGGTTATGGTTCAGAAAGGGGTAGGAAATGCAGCCTCAGAAATAGCTTGCATTTTGCAATTAATCTTTGAGGTATTTCCATCCTCCCATGGTAAGAGTTGTTTTAACTTCCATCAGTGGGGTCTTTCTTAAAAGAGGACTGGAACTTGGAATTTGGGGTGGAAGGGCAGAGATGGGGAAGTGAGAACAAATTTCTTTATAGATTCTAAAGCCTAATTCCAATGCCTAAAGTTTTTGTAGTTTTTGAGGATTGTGGAAAACGTGGATGACTTTGGCTGGCAGAGTGTGTGAGTGAGGATATTTATGTGAATGAGTTCTTGTGGCTGTCAGAGTTACATCTGATGAGTTAGGTACACTGTGTTACTAAGGGTTAAGATGAAATGCAAAAAGGTAGGATCAGAGGATAGTAAAAATAGAGAGGGCAGGCATATGAAAGAGTTATTAGGTAAAAATGAGAGATTATATGGACATCAGAGGAAGCTAGATATAGCTCAATTTGGAAATAATTGGGAGAATATAAAGATGATTTTTGTTATCTGTTGCTAGTTCTTTTTGCTTTTTGAACAAAGTTTTTGTTTTACTGTGACTCTACTGTCATGGTTTGTGTTGAAGCTGACTTACCAGCAGTATAAATTTCATTTTCTGAAGGTTTATGAATTGTCAGATTCTGGCCTCCTTAGGGACCCACTTTACATGAAGTTGAGGCAATAAGTTAGTGATATCCTTGGCTGGGCGAGTAGGTCTGAGCTGTGTGTCTTTTTTTTTTTTTTTTTTTAAGATTTTATTCACTTGACGGAGAGAGAGAGAGAGCACAAGCAGAGAGAGTAGCAGGCAGAGGGAGAGGGAGAAGCAGGCTCCCTGCAGAGCTGGGGAGTCCGATGTGGGACTCGATCCCAGGACCCCAGGATCATGACCTGAGCCGAAGGCAGTCGCCTAACCAACTGAGCCACCCAAGCGCCCGAGTTGTGTGTCTTTTTAAAAAATGCATCAAAAAAAAAATTCACGCTTGTTCTTAGAAGCTAAGTGGGATCAGCTGAGTTTTGTTTTATTTATTGGTGAAACATGATTAATTAGCTAAATTGCAGACTAAACTAAATTAATGTGCAGCCTGATTTTCGGTTCATGAAGGAAGACAAATTTGAGAATCAAGTGTTAGGAAGTTTTTCAATTCTGTAAAACTGGATAAAGGAGAAAAAAACCAAAGCTTTTCATTGGGAAACATTTAATGAATCTTACAGCACTACCAAATTACATATAGTTCTGATGTAATCTAAAGGATCTCTCTCTCTCTCTCTCTCTCTCTCTCTATATATATATACACACACACACACACATAGATATATAGATAGGGATACATATATAGATATCCCATTATATCTATATATGTATCTGTATATATATCTATATATATACATATAGATATAGATAGGGATGCCAGATAGGGATACATATATATCCTATCCATTATATCTATGTATCCCAATTAAGAAAAGATATGCATGAGGAAAGACCTAACAAGTCAAAATATATTTCTTCCTTTCCTTCCTTAAAATTTTAAAATTGAAATATCGTAATTAATGCTTACTTATTTAAATCTGTTCATATACAGGACACATCTATTCATATATAGGACACATCTCTTTTTACGGTTCTACTTATGTGGTGGCAGACCATTACTCCAAGAAGAACCAATTCAGAAAATCATCTGGGTGTCTCCTGTAGTGCTGTGTTGACCCAGTTCAGCTAACTGCCTTAATCAGGTTTCTTCCAGTATTCAGGTGTGTAGCTCTAGTCCATCCTATCAGTGCCTGAATTCAAGATGAGAATTACTTGAATTTAAAGTCACGGCAACAAAAAACCCTGAACTTTAGACTCTATTGTTTCCAACCTGATAAAGAGGTTTTTGTCTCTAAATGTCTTTATTTAGAAGTACTTAGGCAAGATCAGGTGATAAATGCTTTAGACATTGAACCGATGATAGCTGTGGTGTTGCTGGTCTTGGATCCTTCATGGAGATTATGACCTTACATCTATCTCTTGAACATGGTGTTGGTTGTTGTTTATGAGAGTTTTTATTGCTAGACCTGGAACAACAACTTTTTTCAGAGGTCCATGTTAATTAACTTTTTATCAGGTTTCAAAAAACTAAACTGAGTCACTTTCCTAATCTTAAAAGAAAGTAGCTCATTGTTCAGCAGTGTGGTCCAGAGGGATGAGTACCAGAAAGAAAGCTGACTTTCTCCATTACTATTGGGATCTACGTGCTGTTTATGGACAGTTTAATCCTCCTAATGACTTCAATAAACTGTTCCTTCTTAGAGCACCTTAAACTGTTTGTGATAGAGCTGTGCAAAGCTGAGGGTCCTTTCTAGCCATTTAGAGCTCCTGAAGCAGGCCACCTACTGACTCCCTCGTAGGAAGAATGTCTTTTCTCTAGGCTCCCCATTTAATAACTGATTTATAGTTTAGAGGAATACAGGACTGCTTGGAACCATGGAATTCTTGGTGGCTCTGGTGCTTTTATCCATATGACTACTATGCCCCTTGGTTCTATACTTACTAGAGACTTGCCTGATATCAGAATCACATGCTTTGCTGTCTGCTTAATAATATATCTGAGTCCATCCCTCTCATACTTACTTGTTTCGGGGACCCAACTGGACCAATGCTGGCACATGTCCTTTGGGGTGCAAATGTAGACAAAGAGACTGCCCTACTAATTGTGCCTTCCCTTTGCCCCCCAGTGTAAGGATAGTGATCAAGTGAGCACTATGCCAGTTGAATATCAGGAATTAGGGTCTGAACCCAAGTGGCTCTACTCTTTGTTACTTCTTTGTGACTGGCAGAACTTCTAGGCAAGAGCATTTGAACATTTCAGCCTTCATCTTTAATATGTGCAATGACAGGCATATGCAAAAACCTTACCCGGATTAATCATCTAAAGTTAAAGAAAAAAATGTTCTATATATTTATTAGGAGCAGGTTTTTCAATCTGAAGGTCAGATTCCATTGCAGCAATTACTGCTACCACAAAAATGTGGTCTGACAAAAGAGATTCACAACCTTCACCAGTGGTTCACCTATTCAGCAAGATTTAATACCACCAGCTAGGTTCCACTGTGACAAAGGAATAAGACAATCCTTATAGTTCTCTGTCATGGGATTTGACCTTTCCCAGAATTGGGCATAAAGAATGATTTCAATGAAAAGAATTATAATGAACTCTCACTGGCTTTTCCCAGTATAAAGGGTTCATAAAAAAGAGAATTAACATGTCATTATCTTTCAGTTGATTTTCAGCTATATCATTTTATGGTTCAGAGTATTCTAGAATATTCTCTCCTTCCAACTTTTATGGGCAGAAGCCTTGGGAAATAATTTGCCTGATTTGGGCACTGACACTGTAAAAAGTAAGATGTTATTTTAAATATGTAAAATTGATTTCAAAAATCTGTGGCTTATACTTAAGAGTATACCTGTGGTTTACATTTGTTAGTGTGTAAGTTTATGTCCACTCAAGTCTGTGTATGTATTAGGAGAATGTTTTATAATTATAGAACTGTAGTATCCAAAGCTATTGTTAGAATAATTTTTCTTATAGGAAATTTGGCATGCCTTAATGTTGACTTTAAGGACAAGAGAAGTCTTTCACAGGTCATGAATGAAGAATTTAGAATCAACCTCAGAATGAGATGCCATAATTACATAGGTCTCTTTTGGCTGTTCAGCATCTCACAGATGTTTGATTTATTTTTTTAACCACGCAATTTCAGGCACATAAGAGTGTGGCCTATTTAGAAATTATTTTACCATGAATTATTATTTTATTTCAAGGAAATATGGGCAGCAGACAGGACAGTGTTTTCCTTTGCTCCAAGTTTTAGTAATTCTCCTGTGTTTCGGGAAGAAACAGCCTTATTTTCCCACTGCCAACTTCATGCTTCCTAGCCAAAGCATGTTATACATGAACACGAACAAATGTTATACAAGAAAGCAAAGACGGATTATTACTATATAGTATATTGAGAGTTTCTATTTTGCGGTTCTCATCGTGCTTTTTATTTTTCTTGCCAAATAAGAAAACTAATTTGATGTTGATTATGTGTTTTAATATGCAAAAAAGGGCAGTTATTAAGGTTATGGGCTTTTTCTTAGGGCATGTGATGTCTTATATGTTAATAGCAAGTGTGTCATATCATTTTAAAATAAAACTATTTATTAAGATGTTTCATTGTGTTTGTTTTTGTTTATTTAAATCTGAATCTGTGATGTTGATTTGGTCTTTTAAAATTATATTTGAAATTATTTGTCCACAAAAATTAAAAGTAATATTTACCCTGATTCAAATATAATATTCTTCTTGCTACCATATCATTGAACAATGTAAACCATACCTTATTATTTTACTTTCTATGAAAAAGTCAAAGCTATTTAGATTTACTCAGTATTGAACTTAGAGTGTGAATTGCATGATGTGGAAAAAAATACATGAATTGGTATTTATTGGTATTTTAAAAAGTACTTATCTAAATATCTAGAAAGCTTTTAGATGAGAAAAAAATATCAAATTAACTTATGTTCCTGCTCTTAAACTTCTCTTGATCTATTTTTGATCTCTATTTTCATTTGAAGGATGCATAATTTATATTAAGTGAAATTTTATCCTTATTATGGTTGAGAACTATAAAGGGACAA